ACGTAGTATTAGTCGAAGATAAAATAATATAAATAATATATATATATATACACACACACACACACACATAAGAGCATGACAAAAGAAAAATATTCCTCGTTCCTCGCAATCATGCCGAGTTTGTATTTGTAAATCGTTTTTTTTTTTTCCAAATAATGCGCGTCGTCTTTTATGTTTTACGTTTGTTGCGATAGAAACACCGATTGCCAATTTTTGCCGACAATTATTTCGAATGGCATTTGTCTGTAATGCGTCTTTGCGTGCAACCAAATTGCGAATGATCTACCTGGTAGATGCAGCAGAGCAGTGATAATCATTAGCAACAAAACTTGTAGCATGTTTCGTCAAGAGCGTTAATTTCACAGTCCGTTCCATAGAAAAGCGGTAGTTTAGATTATAATGAGAGAAAAAAATAACGCGCGCGACCGATATACGGAAGTCAAGTATTACTCACCGAGAAAGTATGTTTTCTTTTTTCATGTGTGCTGATAAGATCGATGTATTATATACTTCTCGAATAAATAAGTATCATCTAAATTGTAGAGCAATCTGGAGAAATTTCCGTTTGCCTTAATCGATGATTAGCTGAATTAAGAATTCGTATCTCTTCGTATCTCGACTGTATTAATCGATTTGAATCACAATCAAAATTCGATAGAATTCCATAACAATATTAATATCCTGTTAAATGTTTAACGGGAACATATTGATTGATTGTATTGGAATTGATTGGCAGAAAACCGTGAAAATTTAGGTGAGATATATTTTCGCGCGTAAAGAATCGTGAATTTTGAATTGCGATACGAGCGATCGATTGACACAGTTAACTCACATAAGTAGGGAATACGACTAGATTGTTGAAATCACTATCGATTAGATTACCTGTTGATTACACTACTGTGATCTTTTTTTTTGTTCAAAAATTAATAAAGCATTTTGTTATGCGAGTCGCACGCGTTGCTTCATTTTTTTTCCCGCGAAATATCGTTTGTATAATTTAAATTTTTAATATCACAAGGAAATACGAAGATTTTTTTCTCTCTTTTATCCTCTTCTGGATTTCCGATCTGCTTATGTCACAGGATGACAATATCCAATTTATAAATAAGGACTTTAGTAGACGACTCTTTGGAGATAAAGGAATGCTCTCTTTTATTATTTTCTGACTCTTAATTTGAATATTATATTCAAAAATTTCAAGTTTTTAAATCTCGCAAACACGTGGAGTGAATTCGTCGATTACTAATCAGCCGCTCTAAATCAAATCGTGCTCTAAAATACGAAAGTTATACGAACATTTGATTTAGATGAAAAACAAATTTTTGCTTCTTATCATATAAATAAATCGAAATCGCATTTTCTGGTTTTTATGATTCGATCTTATAAGATAATTAAGATAATTTTAATTGATGAAGTAACATTATTATCTCATAATTCAGAACAATTTTAAATATAATATCAGGCTATTAAACAACGTTTTATTTAAACATTTTACGTCTTAAATAGTGATTCGGGCTTAATTAAATGCCTATTTCTTTCTCTCGAATTTTTTTCTCTCATATCCCTCTCTAACTTTCTCTTCCTCTCACTCTTCTCTCACCTATCATCTATTCTTTTATTTTATATTACATATCGTTATCTATATATTTATCCTTTTACCCTATACATATATCATTACATGCTTTTTCTCTTTTACAACAGAACGTGAATTTTTCCAAAAATCGCTCCTGCAAAATCGAGCCTAAGCCTAAGGGCTGTCTCCGATGAGTTCGCGAACGCTCTGTCAACCGTCTACGATGGCCGACAGTCGCAGACTCCGAGACATCTCGGTTGTGGTTACCTCAGTTTATTGACAAAAATGTAACATCTCTATTTTTAATTGGCCATGTTACCACCGCACACGGCATGACAATCGCTCCGACCGCATTTATGTTATTCTTGTTTCTATAAATATCCGCGCGCGTGCTCCTTATTCGAGATCTCCGGGTCTGACATCGACGTGAAGATGTCTTCGAAAAGGTATATGATTGTTTTTACTTTGCGTCTTCCTATTTCTTTCTCTCTTTCTTCTCTCTCTCTCTCTCTCTCTCTCTTTTTCTGGAACGCGCGCTGCCTGGCTGCTCCGAATTGTCTGAAGAAATTATTTATAGACAAGACGAAGCTTTTCTTCCGATCCTCCGGCGAACGATTTTCGACTCCTTGATGTATCGTCCCCCTCCCCCCTTCGAGTCTTTGTCCCTTTGTTAACCTACAATAAAAAATCATTCATCACATTGTTTATCATGTTACAATTTCTCCTTTAAAATCTCTCGTTCGATCAAAACCTCTTACAAAATCATACAGATTTTTCAGTCTTAAATTGCTCAATTGGTAGTGGCTTTCTACAATAAGCTGTTAGTCATTATTCATATTGCGTTAATAGTAAGGCAGAATAGTAAGTCATAAAATCTTAGGAAATTACATCCACAATTAATCATATTAGATTCTTACATGAGCAGTTTTAAATTCTCAAACTTTTTTGTTATACAAGGTATTATTTTTCTCAACAAATTTGATAAGTTCTAAATCATCTGTTTCTTTAAAATGTGTAAAATGTATGAAATTCTATTTTTAAACATAATATACTTTATATACAACAACTTACATTGTCACTTAGTTCTGGTTCTCTTGATAGAAATGGCAGACACATATTATTCTTTAATTGGTCAATTTTGATGTAATCTAAGTTTTAAATTGTAAGAGATAGAATTTGGTCATCTCTCTACAATTATTAATTATTGATGTATTATTGTCTTGTGACACATTAATGACTTGTTTACAACTCGCTTTTGACTTCTACTCTATTACTAATAGTTTATTGTAGAAAACCATGTAGACAAATTTAGTGCATTATGATTTCAGGTTTATCAGACGTAAGTCTCTCATCCACTTCTTTTAGCAATAAATGTAACAATCATTTGAGAAATATGTACAATTGTATTGTTTTTAGTGAATTAAAAAAGTTATCGGAGGAAAGTCTGACAAGACAGCCAGAAGAGGTGTTTGATATCATATGCAAGCTAGGGGAAGGGTAGGTCTTTAACATTTGTCAAAAGATAGATTTCATTTCACTGTTTCTAATATATGTATATTTTTGTATAGATCATATGGGTCAGTATACAAAGCATTACATAAGGAGAGCGGTCAGGTACTTGCTATTAAGCAAGTACCAGTGGATACCGATTTACAAGAGATTATAAAGGAAATATCAATTATGCAGCAATGCGACTCTCCATATGTTGTTAAATATTATGGAAGTTACTTTAAGAATACAGATTTATGGGTAAGCAAATGTATTCGGTTGTCTTAAACAAATTGGGCTTTTTATATCTTGTAATTTGCAGATTGTAATGGAATATTGTGGCGCTGGTTCTGTTAGCGATATTATGAGGTTAAGGAAGAAGACGCTTCAGGAAGATGAAATTGCAACAATTCTGAGTGATACTTTGAAAGGTTTGGAATACCTTCACTTGAGAAGAAAAATTCACAGGGACATTAAAGCTGGAAATATCCTTCTTAATAATGAAGGTCATGCAAAATTGGCTGATTTTGGTGTGGCGGGTCAATTAACGGTAAGTTACAGAAAGAGGCTTTTAACTAAGATCACAATCTAAATTATCTTCTGCATTTTCATCTAGGATACAATGGCTAAACGTAATACAGTTATTGGTACACCATTCTGGATGGCACCAGAAGTAATACAGGAGATTGGCTATGATTGTGTAGCCGATATATGGTCTCTGGGAATAACGGCCCTGGAAATGGCCGAGGGCAAACCACCATATGGCGACATACACCCAATGAGAGCAATATTCATGATCCCGACTAAGCCACCACCTAGTTTTAGAGAACCTGATCAGTGGAGTCCAGAGTTTATTGACTTTGTCAGTGGGTGCCTTGTAAAAAATCCCGAAGAAAGAGCCACCGCGACCGAGCTTCTACAACACGTATTTATAGGTAAGCAAAAGATTGAAGTTTATGTCATGATGTTTTTATGACTGAATATGTGTATATTTCATGTCCATTGTAGGTAATGCCAAACAGCCGAGTATTTTGGGTCAAATGATCGCCGAGGCTCATGAAATACGCGAAAAGCAAAGTGCGCATAGAGCTCACGTCATAAACAACGTGGCGATTAAAAGTCAAAATCAGGCGGAAGATTCGGTAATTATTTCAAACTAATCTCTACAATAATAATATCAGTTTGCGTACGTATATAACATCATGTTTTTGTTGTAAGGATGAGGACGACTGTAGTGGAACTATGAAACCTTTACCAGAAGATAGTAGGACCTTAGTGCCGAGTCATGATCTTCCAGATACGGGTACTTTAGTTTCGGCAATGTTGGATTTGGGTACAATGGTTATTAATAGTGATACAGATACCGAAGCTACCATGAAGAGTTAGTAAATCTTAATTTTCGAATTTCAGCAAAAAAGTGATTTGCAATTAATATTGATATCTCTTCCAGGATATAACACTGGTTCTGTAGAATCTGGCAAGAAATATCGACCATTATTTTTAGATCATTTTGACAAAAAGAAGCACCTGAAATCGGAAAGGTAATTTTTTTTATATTACTTTAAATTATCAGCGAAATCTAAAATATTAACAACATTGAATAATAATATATAGGGTAATGGACAAATGTTGGGAGCACACAATATGGAAAATGCGAATAAATTGGAGCAGCAAAACCCAATCGAATCTCAAAGATTTCAAAGTCATTTGCAATTACAGTTACAACATCAAATCTCTCATCCCATGCCAGAACAGCCACATAACAATATATCGAAGTTTCAAAATGTCTTCACGGAACGTGATTTTGACTTTGTGAGTAAACTTTATTTCAATATTTATTTTTAAAATTTACATAATTAACATTCGTGTGATGTATTACTGACAAATAACATGATGAGTAACATGAGAAAGCGGATAATTATTTTGCCTATTTTACAATTCATGTCAATTCTTTATGTCAAATGTGATTTCGAATAATGCCACTTTAGGCATTGTAAAGAAATAAAACTTGAATATATAGAGAAGCCGTATCCTGCAGTTGAAGTTCCTTTCCTACGAGGAACTGCAACAACGAATGGCTAGCTTGGACGCGGAAATGGAGCGAGAGATCGACGAGCTGAGAAAAAGGTATCAGACGAAGAGACAGCCTATTCTGGATGCCATGGATACGAAGCGGAAACGTCAACAGAACTTCTAACAGTTCTCCTTTACGGGAATAAGTGATGACGGATAGATAAAGGGTGTACAGTTGTATAAATGGATAGATTTTATTCACGTCATCCCTGGTTTCATCAAAGAAAAGAACATTGATCCCACACCGTGAATATTTTACCTCATAATGGACAAACACGTAACGACTGTGAATGTTTCCTGTTTATTCGCAAATCACAATGTTACTTTTCTTTATGAATCCCGGGGTATTATAGCTAGTAATAGCTGATAGTCTCACGTCATCAATGTAAATTATTTTACATGATTTAGGTGAAGAAAAACAATCACTATACTTAATTTTTGTATTATGTTTACCTATATTTACTGTTAAATATATCCTATTCTTATAGAGATATTATGAGACTCATCTAGGGTCATTAGAAAATAAAAAGAAAGGAACGCAATAGGAGTGCAAAACAAACGCATCATGATTATGATCGGTTTTTTATCAGTTTTTTTTCTTAGAAAAAACTTTACATTCACTTGGAATGAAATCGGTATCTTGTATCATCATCGTGCTACGCTAGTCATTTACAATGCCATTTTATCCAGGATACAAAAAGATCATTATTCATATAAAATGCGTTCGCAAAATGCACTTAAACAGTTAAGCATTTGAACAGTTTTTGAGTGTAAATGTTCTATTTAATCATGACAGTTTGAAATAAGCGAACAAGGTTGTAAGATTTAATTTCTTACTCTACTGCCATAGGTAGACTCTCTACTCATTCGTCTACTAACAATTTAGTTTACGTCAATTTTCTAAGCGATTAGTTTTATTTTTCAAGTTACAAATATGTCCAACACCAATATGATCACGCAATTCTAAAGTAATGAATAGTGTTCTTCAATAAGCAGCGCCATGATAAAAGAAAAATGATGCCGCATTCTAATAAGATATTTCATAAACGAACTTATTAGTATTAGAGTCTTCCGCGCGCCGTATTAGAAAGTATTTTCTACAGTATGCTCTAATTTACTTTGTCATATGAAAATTGTTGAAACTGAAATTTATCAGATTCCACTAATGATAACGGTATTTTTAGAATAATATAAAAGTTCGTATGGTAATGCCTTACAATAATCATTTTTTGTATAAAGCATTAAAAATTTTTGATCGCAATTTTTTTTGTGATCGTTATAAAATAAATATATTTGTACGTGCCATTAATACATATGGCGAATAACTATAACAGAGTAATAATTTCTTGCTGATGTTGCGTTTTGGGCTATTTTGCCAATAATGGAAATAGAATTATACTTAAATGCGCTATAGCCAGAACTGATATTCAATTTTTTTTTAGAAAATAATAATACAGAATAACAACATATTTTTGATATAGAAGGTATGCACATTGTCAGTGAATAAGGTCTGAAAAATTAAGACGTATATTATCCATAATCCTGACTCTTACAAAAGTGTAATACTAATATAGAGTTTCCAAGCGAAAAAAACTGAATCATTCTGTAAACAAAATTATACTTCCATCATTTTATATATGAAACGCGATATATGAGCTCTATTGACTTTGACTTTTAAAGAATTCTTTTAGTTGATTTAAATGAGCATATTTATTCGACTATTTTTCGACTATTTTTTCGACTATTTTATCTGTTAAAATTGTAAATTTATTTATATTTTATAAATTCATACAATACATCAAAAAATGTTTGTAATTACATTTTTTTTATGTAAAAATATGGATTTACAAGCTTTTTTACAATTTATACAATAGCAAAATCTTTGTAAAATTATGGTCTGTATCCATTAACGTTTTATATCTGTCTGTTCTGAAATTAAAAAATGAAAACGGATAAAGATGTCACGAAAGAGCACATTAATATATTTTCTTCTATGATCGTCAATCGTTTAGCCTTAGCTAGCAATCATTTTTCATACGAGAATTTATAATAACAATAATGCGTTTCGTAGAGCAACGTAATTTTCCATTTTGAGATACGGCTTTTTGTATTTATATTAAAGCATGATGGTTTTATGACAAAAGCCATGATTTTACATTCTTATTGTGTATTGTATAATCTATTGCAGTGTTTGGCTGAAATATAGAGACTGATGGCAGAAGTATGTTTTCTCCGAGTGAATGATTTAATAAAAACTATAGTCTGATAATACAACATAACAACATATAGAATGATTGCTATTAATATTAAAGCGATATTATTAGTAGTTTTGTTTAAAATAATTACGAAAGCAAATATTAACATTGCTGCCTTCTCAATCATTTTGTTTCATGATAATAAAATATTATACAAACTATGAACGTCTGATCTCTTTAATTTCATTCAATATATCACTAATATTAATCCTACTATTAAGTACTTTTCATACATTTATATTTGTATATCCATGCAAAGTTTTGGTCCAAGTTAATTTCTAAGTTATATTGGTTACTGTTACAATTGGACGGTACATAAATATAAATATACATACATATATATAAATATATATAAAACGCTTTATAAGCATCAATATTATTATTACAATATAAACAAAATATCAATAAATATATAAATGCTTTTTAATCACATTGATATAGAAGACACTAAACATCCAGTAAAGTTTTGATAATTAGCTAATTATCACTAACTTTAAACTGGAATAGTTTACTTCGAAAAATTGTGATGTGTAAAATATCTTAAAAATATATTTTTAAAAATATATTTAAAAAGATTATTTTGATAAGGCATACCCTGTATATTTTTTATCGCTATACCTCAATCTGTAAAAATTATTTGACTCACAAATCGTCATCGCCTATCATATGAAAAACATTATTTTCCATGACATCAAGATCCGTTATTTGAGTTTTATCAACAAGTCTTGAGTCATCTGATTTTTTTGACGTCACAGCCGACCATTTGTTAGCAAGTTTTTTTACGATTGGTCCCGTTTTAGAATTATTGGCACATTCTCGCAATGGCGATCCTGTAATCGTTCTACTCTGGCCATCTCTCATGATATATGTCCATGATTTTCCAGGTTCCGCCTACAAATATTACGTATTCGTATAAGAGATTTGATTGAACATCTGACTAATCTAATTAAGCAATTTATATAACAACCTGAATTCTATTCCTGACTATGCATTTTTGCAACAACTCGTCAATCATAGCTTGCAGACAAACAGACATTAAAATTGCTTGGTCGGATGCAATTGTGATCCATTGTAATTCATTCCTAGCAATCAAATATTCAAAAGATAACTCTAATTTGCATTCACCGTTACGATGATCCATTCCCTAGATGCATTCATTAATAATTTATAATAATTAAAGATAAGCTTTCTCGTAAGATACATATTCGTACCACCTACATTTTGTATTGTAGTAATGCGCCAACATCGCATTCGTGAGACTTTAAATATGACTTCATGATCTTTAGGTAATAAGATGCGTAAATTCAATTCATTTCCACCTATAGCGAGCAACACTTGCGAATTATGTTGGGGATAATCACAGTAACATGGTGCAAACTGCACATAACCGTAGTATTTCAAACAACGAGCTATATTCAGATACTGAAATAATAAAAATGCAAGATGAATTATTTAGAAACTTACTTTTTCCGCAATAAACGTACCTCTTTCTTGCTCTCAGATTTTTGCAAGTTTTCCAACTGGTGTTTTACCTCCTTGGTAACTGGTATCCAATCACTGTGAATTTCTGCAGCCGTTTGAACATATAATAAGTTTAGAGTTACCGGATCGTTCATTAACTCAAGATCGTACGTTATGTCCCAGTAACTTTTTCTGAGAACAATTTTTGTACCCATGGAACTCATATATTTGTGTGTAATAAATGGTGATTCAAAATCTTGTAATTTCCGCAATACTGAGAGAAGATAGTATATATATATATATATATATTAACAAAAAAATGCATATATGGGTATAATAAAACATTAACAATACTTACTTTTGATACTGTTAGATAATTCATCTTGTATAATAACAAACAGTGCAAAATGAAAATGATATTTTTCTGCTAGGTTTATATGTTTGTACACTTTCTATGAAAAAGAATTAATATATTTTAACAAATCATTTTGTGTATATTAAATACTGCAAACATACTTTTAAGACATCATTGGAATGTTCTCCTGGTGAAACATTTAATGAAATTTTTGATCCATTCATAAGAAATATATCTAAGGTCTCATTTTCAGATAGGCCATCAGCAGATTCCCATTGGGCATTCAATAAAAATCCACTTAGTATCTCAGAATTGTTTATATCTACATTTTGACCAATGGATTGAATATATTTCTCCAAAGCCAGCCGTCGTTCTTCTTGCTGAGTAGCAGTCAAAGGAAAAAGTTTCTTTGGTGGAAATATTGGCAACGATATATCTAGTTCCTTTGACAATTGTAAATGCAGATTGTGCAACTGTTTGTACCTCACGGTACAATGAAATAATCCATTGATATGGATATTATATCCCTAAAAGTTAGAACAGACAGATTACATGAACAAAATATATAATATATAATAAATAAGATATTATAGAAATACTTACAATATATGAATTTCCAGCTCCATCCACAAATTCCTGAGTGTCTGGTATCGAAAAGTGCATCTTGACATTACAAGCATATGTAAAAAGATAAAAATATTGTTGTCAGATCACATTATATTTGCAGCGGAATCGTTAGCTTCTTCGCACTTTCATAGCAGCATCTGCGAAGAAGGATGAAGTGTGTTACACTACTGGGAAAACCACAAACTTTCCGATTTATCAGAATAAAAAATACATTTAAGATCGACACGGGGAATTTTGTGAGTGGCTGGGTAGTGAGTCATCCTCCTCTCGCGTACAGCCGAAAAGAGCGTCGTTTCAATCCGCCCACCGGCCAAGCGTCGTATCTCGGCCTGCGATCTCGCCGCGCGGGAACAATCCCAAGATCCGAATCTACGACGGAAAGATTGTAGAAAGCGATGCCCTGATAATCCCGAAGCCACAGGTAGGAGTCATGGATTGATGACACGTCTCCCGGAGTACGCGACCCCTTCGCGCTGACGCGTTTGTCGCGCGTTTCCCCGTTCCCCGTGCGCTCTCACTTATCGCCGTACTGACTTTCGTCGTTTGCGGGACCGCATATGCGACAGCGGGCCTCCTAATCGGTCGCGCACACCCACTTGCGCGTTACGTTCCACGCCACGATTATCGCCACCGACACACATTTGAATTCCACGACGGCTCGCGGCCGCTGTGCCGCGCCGTCGAAACGAGACGCGAGACGCACTCGATCGCGGACCTGCGCGTGAACGGCACGCGTTCGTTCCGCGGTAAACGCGGTCAACGCGTCATGTCACACTGGAAAAGAAATGAACTAATACACGTAACTTGGACTATTGGCCAACGCGTCATGTCCACGCTAGAAAAGAAATGAACTAACAACTTGGGCTACTGGCCCGACCGTGCGTATCGGATATTTACGCTTATTGTCTTTCTTTTTCCAAATGAGAAGAAAAGAAACGGAAGGATAACGGGGAAATGAACGTCGAACGCACGCTCGGAATTACAAATCTTGGAGCAACGCAGCGCGAAGCTTGAGCAATGCATATTACGAGAGTATTTCGTTAATTCGAAACAATGTGTTTGTCCTTAGAAATTGTTTGTTGGAAAGATATGTATTAAAAGATATCGAAAATTGGAACATGTCTTTCTGACATTGTAAATTTGTTGATGTAATGAAAATAAAATAAATAATTTATCGAATTAAAATTTTGAAAACTTAAAATTTAATGAAAATTAATATTAATTAAATTGCTGTGTACTTATTTTCAATTCAGTCTTCAGTTTTGAAGATTCGGAGTGTGCATCCGTCCTCAGTGAAAAAATGTGACGATATGATTATTTTTACATTACACGTACTTCCTACGCGTGTACATCGATTGATTTCTCATTGGTTGGTGTACCTATGGTGGGAAAAGTACAATTTGAACACTTACTATGTACCTGCCAACGAACGTGCAGATGTAAATTAAAAATAAATTTTTATTTCCACATACAAGAAAAATAAAGTAAAACATTTTGACATAATCATTATAAAAATAAAATAAAAAATAAGTTCATAATAATAATAATAATAAAGGTAACATAACTTTCAAAGGTCTTGCACATAATAAATTTTTAATCATAACCAATCGTAACCATAAATCCATAAAAATTGATCGAAGAATTGATTGATGAATTGAAAAAAAATAATCAACTGCAATTGGTCAATTTTCTTATAGATTTATGATTAAAAGTTTGTTACGTGCAAAGACTTTTAGATTGTTTTTAGATTATTTTTGTTTTTAAATTATCTTTTTTATCCTTTTTTGTAAATATCACTGGATCTCTCAGGTATGATGACAATACGCATGCGCGAAAAGTGCGTTTCCAGCAATATTGTAGTCTGAAAACCATCGTCTTGATATTAAGTATATAAAGGACGTCGTCGTAGTAGTAATGTACTAGTTGATTGTTGCATCCTTGATAGATTTGAGTGAGTGATTTTGCATAGAAGAAAGTCTTTATAAACAATTGGATTAATAAACTTGTTAACATAACATTTATATTAAATAGGTAATTTAATTTATATGAAAATATGCTTGCGCTAAAAGATTACGGTAGCAGCGACGAAAATAGTGAACCTGAAAATGTTGATCTTGCATCCACGTTTCTTAAAGATAAATTCACGAGTAATCTGCAAATTTGTTCGGCTCCGGAAGTCATACCTACTGTAAGTATTCACTGTTCAATCCTTTCAATCCGTTTCAATCATTTTTGATTTTCCGAAAGAGGTTACTTTTGAGGTTATTTTCAATCGTATCATTGTCATTTTATCTTTCCTTTGAAAAGAGATGAATAATCGTTTTTATCGATAATTATTTAGGGAACGGAATTATGTATAAAACACATAGATCCAACTGCAACGGAAGTTTCACATAATCCAAAGTATGAAGAACTTTTTGGACCCGAAGTAGGACCAGAAAATCCATTTAAGACGCAGCAGCAGCGTGCCGCGAAAAATATGCTGTCTGGATATGTTGAACACGCACATATAAGCGAATTTCAGTTTGAAAATCAAAGACGAACATTTGCCAGTTATGGTACATATCATGTGAAGTTTATATTTAACATATAATGATTAATGTTCTTTTCCCTCATGATTACATTAAACAAGTATAAATTCTGTGATGTAATTTACATGAAATAAACTTTGAAATATTTATTAGAAAAAATTTTATAATTTCTATGAAGATTTTTTATAAAAGTAGAATTGTACAAAATAAGTATATCGAATTATATTGTATAAATTATATTGTATAAATTAAGTATATTGAAAAAAGTTATATAAAAAAGAAGAATAAAATATATCTGTGAATATCTGAAATGTTTAAACTAAGTTTATTTGGTAATTAAGTTTTTGTTGTATTTTTAGGATATGCACTTGATCCAACTGTAGACGGTAGTGCAGATGAAGGTAGAGTAATAATTGGTGCAAAAGAAGCTGCAGAAGAATCAGGCGGCAAGACAGTTTTCGAAACTACTACTTTAAGACCTGCAGATAAACGAAAAAGACACAGAAACAATGATCCGTCGGACATCGAAGGTTTCTTGGGTCCTTGGGGTGGTTATATTGATGAAAAACGAGTTATAAAGCCAAGCGAAGAGGAAGCTGCTGAATTAGAAGAAATCTTAGCCAAACGTAATAAACGAGGAAAACAGACAGAGGAGAAACCACTCGAGGAGAAGACAGTATTACACAGTAATGTCGACATATCTGTTTTTAATAAATATGTTTTATATATACATATATATATATATAATAAATAATAGAATTGCTTTTTATATAGTAATCTTTCAGGAAATAGCATTATTAAAACTTGAAATAATTTAAAATTCTTCTATAATTCTTAATATTATGCATTGATTTGAAGTAGAATTTAATTAAGATATTTAATAATTTTTATATTGCAGTCAAAGACAGTGTGGATTATCAGGGACGCTCGTTCTTACACGCACCTCAGGATGTAGGCGTGAATCTCAGATCAGAATCACCACCCGATCGTTGCTTCTTACCAAAAGCGCAGATTCACACATGGGAAGGTCATACAAAAGGCATCTCGCAAATTCGATGGTTTCCACGTACAGCGCATTTGTTACTATCTTGTAGCATGGATTGCCGAGTGAAGGTATTCAATGTGACAATTACATTAATTTATTTTGTTAATATTTTTTACTTGTGAGTAACATATGATAATGTGTGCATAGTTGTGGGAAGTATACAAGGATAGGAGATGCGTTCGTACATATTACGGACATCGTCAAGCAGTACGAGACATAAGTTTTGACAATGATGGCAAGCGATTTTTGTCAGCGGCTTACGATCGCTATGTGAAACTTTGGGACACAGAAACAGGAGCATGTATTAGTCGCTTTACAAGTAGAAAAATACCGTACTGCGCCAAATTTAATCCCGATCCAGATAAACAACATCTCTTTGTAGCTGGTACCAGTGATAAAAAAATTATTTGTGTAAGTAAAAAAATAGATCTATCAAAAATAGTATATTTTTTATTTAAAATTTATAGTAGCACGAAAATGATCTCTTTTTAAAAATTGATGATCGACGTGAAATGCTCAACATGAAAGTAAAATATAATTTATATTTCATTAAATAAAAATAAATTAATATGTTGTGTGTTACAGTGGGATATACGCTCTGGTGAAATAACACAGGAATATGATAGACATTTAGGTGCTGTGAATACTATCACTTTTGTTGATGAAAATAGACGATTCGTCACAACCAGTGATGATAAAAGTCTACGAGTTTGGGAATGGTATGATTCTATTAATTCTTATAAAGTGTTTCCTGTTAAAATGTAAGATCTATCTATTGTTAAGAATATATTTTTGTTTTATGTAGGGACATTCCAGTAGATATGAAGTACATAGCTGATCCATCCATGCATTCTATGCCAGCGGTAACACCGTCCCGAAATCAGAAATGGCTGGCTTGTCAAAGTATGGATAATAAAATCGTTATATTCTCAGCGTTAAATAGATTCAAAATGAATCGGAAAAAGACGTTCACGGGGCACATGGTCGCAGGATACGCTTGCGGTTTAGATTTCTCGCCAGACATGAGGTAATTTATATAAACGTGTTTTTTAATAAATATGCAATATTATTTTAAAAAATTTGATTATTTTTATACAAAATAGTCAAGTTTTTATTAAAATATTTATATCGATATTTACATCTTATTTTAGTTATTTAGTGTCGGGTGATGCAGACGGTAAATGCTATATATGGGACTGGAAAACAACGAAATTATACAAAAAATGGAAAGCACATGATGGAGTGTGCATTGACGTATTGTGGCATCCACATGAACCTTCTAGGCTTGCTACTGCTGGCTGGGATGGTAAAATCAAGTATTGGGATTAAAATATTTTCCAATAGATCTAGCCACAATTACAATCAATCATAAATATCAAAGATATTTTGTATATTTGTAAATAATGAATATTAATAATTAAAGAAAAGATAAGATTTTTAAATGCTGATTAATTGTCAATTTTAATGTATGAATGACGAATGTATGACGATGTACGTGTGCTTTACAGATTATACATACATAATTCAAGTTATTTATTTTAATTAAGAAAAATCTGTTCTTTTAATTCTTAATTTCTTTATTACCTCAGTTCGCCGATTCCTTATCCAATCTTGAATTGTCACAATGATCACCGGTGAACACATGTAATCAAACTTGAGATTGTTCAGTAGAAGACTCGTCATTGCCATAACTAAATTATGACAGTACGCGATATGCGTAACATACAATCCATTGAATCCTGTTATCTGGCGACACGAATATACTCACCATTATTTAACATATCGCTTGTCTCCAACCCACCCCGATGCCAATGAGTTAGCAACCCTGCTCCACGGATATGGATGTGAAAAATCAATAGTGCGCGCGTCAGTGTATACCGTACGCTCTCGTGCGGTCGCTCTCACGTTTTAGCCTCGATTGGAAAATTATACGTAACGAACGTACTGCTGAGAATTCTTTATCCGTATCGAATGCCGAAAGTGCCCTGTCCATGAAATTCTTCGTAAATAGTAAACGTTATGCAGGCGGCAGGTATTCGTCAAGACTGCAGATGGAAGTAGCGTTTATTATCACGCAATAAAGCGGAAGGTAAGTTTTCTGTTTACATGCACACGCGTCAGGTGTAAATCTGGAGATCATCTGGCACATATTGTTGCTACTACGTTCAACTTATTCCGATAAATTTCAGAAAAAACAAATTCTGAATTTATTAAGAATGACAAACATCCAAAAAATATAAGTGCACATATCTTCTTTTTTGAATTGTTTTCTCATTTTAATATATATTGTACGAATAAATGAAATAAAATTATTTTTGAAAAAATAATAGATATGATTACACCTGTAGGTTTCATTTCTAGAAATATGTCTAGAAATAATTTTTATAGACTTTCATTAATAGTGGCTCTTTACAATATGTTGAATTTATGCTCCTAAAAAGATTGAAGGAGCAAATACATGTT